AAGGTTTATCTATTTCATTGGTTTTTTCATAAAACCAGCTCTTAGTTTTATTTATTAGTTCAATAGTTTTTTCTTAATTTTTCCTTTGGTTTTCAGAATCATGTATTTTAGAGCTGGAAGGGACCTATAAGGCCATTGAGTCTAATATCTCCCCCCCATTTTACAGAAGAGGCCACTGAGCCTGAGAGATATTAAGGCACTGGTTCAGGAACAAACAGAGAATAAGCATCTGAGGCAGATTTTGAACCCAGGTCTTCCAGCCTCTAGGTTCAGTGCCCTATCTACTACGCCATACCTCTGTGAACACAGAAACCTTATGCCCGGACTGGAAGGGTGAATTCTCCTGTTGTCTGACTCTTGTTACACTACTGCAGGATAGGGCTTCGGGATCAAACTCAGGCTTGGAATGCTGAGACTATGACAGACATTTTGATTTCATAATCTGGAGATGTTGCAAGCAAAACCTGTCACAATTAAGGTGAAAAGTTTGGTATTGGGAAACAGGTACTTCACAGTCTTCTCTGACTAGTGTTAGTTAAGTCTCAGTTAATAATGGGTTCAGTGAGACTGCCACGTGCCCTGCCTCTCATGCCATACTGCATTTCTTTCATTTGTATGTATCAAGCATATTGCTTTATTACATAGGGCTAAATGGTGCTTTATTAATCACAGAACCTAGCTTCATGTGCCAAATGATGGAGTTTCCAGGGCAAAGAATGGGAGTAGAAATTGCGAGTCAGTAACTCTTAGCCATAAACATTTCTCTCCAAATTTTGATCCAGTAATGGTGTTGATGCAATAAAAAAAAGTCCCAAGGCCCATTCAGCTTCCGCCACTGGCAAATACTAAGCTTGGGGCTCCTGGCCTCAGCGTTATAGGATTAATGCCTCTGGAGTCAGAGGACCTAGATTCCAATCCTGCCTCTTGTGCTTACTATCTTTGAAACCTTTTGGCAAGCCACTTAACCTCACTGGGTCTCAGTTTCTTCATCTATAAAATTATGGATTAGATGAGGTGTCTTCTAGCTAAAGATCTATCATCCTCTGGCCTCTGAGGTCCCTTTTGGCTCTAAATCAATGATATGCCCCTCCCAAAGAAGGGATTTTTGAGAAGAAATTGGACACCTATTTGCCCCAATTCTACCTCCAAAAGCATCTGAACATGTATGTCTGGGAAAATGGAAAGTAAGTGACACTGGCTTCACGTGGAGACAGAAATCCAGGGTTCTGGGCAAACAGCTTCCCTTAGCAAAGTAACACAGCACCCCATCCTCGTGGTGGGAGGCCCAGCACTCCATCAGGCCCAGAGAAGATTTCTTCCAACAGGATTCAGGAAGTTAGTGATTGATGTGGGTGCTTTGATTTAAAAAAAAAGTCATCTCTATTTTTTTTTTAAACTACAGCAAACACTGTTGTTTCCATGTGTGCCCAAGTCATTCCCAGGAAGATCTGTTGGTATCTTCCAGTGTAATCCAATTCAATTAAATTCAATTCAACTCAAGTCAACTCAGCTCAATTCAATTTATCTTTATTAAGCACCTATAATGTGCTCAGCACTGTACCAGGTGCTATAAGAAGTAAAAGAGAAGTATAAGTTCCCTGTCCTTGAAGAACTTACAGTCTTTGTGGAGAGATAAGACAAACATCTATGAAATAGTTGAATAACAGAGCAAGGCAGTATGTGATTACACTGCATGAGAATTCAGAGAAAAAAAGTGACTTGGTTCAGGGTGGTCAAGGAAAGCATGGCATGATGGGAAAAGGCCCAGGTTTGGATGCCAGGAACCTGGGTTCTAATATTGGCTCAACCACCTACAACCTGTGTGGCTCTGGACAAGTGGCAACCTCTCTGGGATTCAGTTTTCTCATCTTTAAAATGAGGGGCTGGACTAGATGACTTCTGAGGTTCTAGCTCTAAATCTATGTTCTAGTACCCTCTCATGAAGTGGGATTAAAATTGGGCTTTGAAAGACCGGTAGGATTTGAATAGGCCCAGAGGAGGGACAGGGCTTCTCTACAGCGCAAAGATGTAGAAGTAGAAAACGGGCAGGTCAGTCTGGGGGGACAATAAAAAGATTGGTCTGAATGGGATAGGTTTTCCTAGGGGTTTGGTGAGACGTGAGGGTGTAAGGACAGCTTGGGTCCATATTGTCAAATACTTTGAATGGTAGACTGAGAAGTTTGGGCTTTATCCTACAGGCAGTGAGAAACCATTATAACTCTTTGAGCAAGGAACATGGCTAGCAATGGCTTATCTCTGGTTTTTATCCAGCATGAGGCATACAAAGTAAAACCAATATGGAGGTGGGACTCACTGCAAGCAAAGCCAATAAAAGGCTCATGTAGAGAAAACATGGTCCCCACGACCCCTGACAATTGCTCTACCCGCCTCCTTCCTTGTTGCAAGTCTCTGTGAGAATCCTGACAGCTAGGGATAGAGCAATGGGCCATGGCCTCAAGAAGTGGTTTTCAAAACACAAGTTCATACAGGGTAATGACAGCATGATGTAAAGTAATATTATATTAGGGGTGTGTTCCATGGACCCCTGGAGGTCCCTGAGACTGTCAGGGAGTTTGTGGGATCACGATTCTTTTCACAATAATACTAACACATTATTTGTCTATTAAAATACTACTTCCCTTTCAAAGTACATATCTGTATAAGGCTGGATTTTCTTCAAATACTTCAACCAAAACAACATAGCAATAAATTGAACACAGAAAGCAGATATGAGAATACAACTATCTTCTATTAAGCCAGACATTAAAGAGATTTGTGAAAATATATAAAACAATGCCTCTTCTCTTTAAATTGTTTTTGCTTTGGAAAAGTTATATAATGGGCTTGTTATTTTTTTAATGAATTAATATTTCTAAAAATTTTCAGTTTTAATTTCTGATATGGTAAATATCAATAGAAATAACCCATATAAACAAAAGCTCTTAGTGGTCCTTAATTATATATATATATATATTTTTTTTTTTGGCTAGGCAATTGGGGTTAAGTGACTTGCCCAGAGTCACACAGCTAGTAAGTATTATGTGTCTGAGGCTGCATTTGAACTCAGGTCCTCTTAACTCCTGGGCCGGTGCTCTATCCACTGCGCCACCTCGCTGCCCCCCTTAATAATTTTTTAAAATGTAAGAGATCCTAAGATGAAAAAGTCTGAAAACTATTGGCCTAAAGAAGTAATCCTTAGGGCTCTTAACTAGTGCCCTAAGGACACTTAATTAGAGCTTTTCCCAGCTTCTGGAATTTAGGTCTACTAGGATCAGTGAGTTCCTGCTTCAGTAAGAAAAAAACATATCTTTGCAAGACTAATTTTCCACATTCGTAGAACTGGGTCATATCACTTCTATGTTCAAATATCTCTAGTGGCTCCCTATTAAGCTGAGGGAAGTTTAGACTCCTTTGACTGACATCCAAAGCTCTCTACCGCCTTGGGGGTCACCCTACTTTTCCATTCTTTTGTCATATTATTATCCTCTATTCCCTCAGGTAAACTGGACAATTAGCCATCTCCCTTCCTGTTCTCTCCTGTGCACCCCTTGTACTGTCCAATCTCTGGATTTTTTCTTATACTCCTCCCTATACTGTAGAATGCTGTCTTTTCCCCAACTGGAATTTTCCCTGTTGATATCTTCCATATTCTTTAAAGCCCAACTCAAATGCCCTTTTTAGCATCATAGGGTCTAGATCTGGAAGAACATGTAGAGATCAGTTACAGTTGCCTTACTTTGCAGAGGGAGGAACTGGAGCTTCACTGTGATTGCTCAAAGTTACACCAACTAATGTGTCAGATCTGAGATTCAAACCTGGGTGCTCTAACTCAAAATTCTGCTCTCTTTTAACTATGCCAGACTACCTTGATGAAACCTTCTCCGAAACCCCAGGCTGCAGCTCCTTTCCTCTTTAGATCTCATGTAACCCTTTTTCATTTCTCATGGACTTAACATGTTACAGTTATCTGTGTATGTGTTTCTATAAACTCAATGACAGAAGCCATGTTTTATTTACTCTTTTTATATCAATGTGTGCTCTGCAAATAGTAGGCACTTAATAAATGTTTACTGAATTGAACTAAATTAAAATAAGCCCATCTGCCAAGGTATTGGGAAACAGCCTTTAGAATTTAAGCTGCAGCCTTTGCAAGCTTGGAGTTTTCATCGGTGTCCTCTAACCCTGAACATGGATGCTTTTCAAAAATCTCCCTTCTAGTACTGTGAAGAGGGCTCAAGGGGAGGTGATGCTACCCACTGTCTGCTCATGCATCCTTGCTTCTTTTGGGCTAGTCCTAGAACCCATGCCAGTGACCACTGGACAATTCAGTCTGCAGGACATCAGTGACTAGTGACAATACAAGTAGGTCTCCTGTCCATAAAGTTATCCCCAGGCTCCAGTCATGAACTAGCCGCTACTGAATCTCCCACTCCAGGATGAGAGAGGAATTTAAAATGTATTTCATTAGGCACTGGAGAGTATTGCAAACACCTCCCCCACCCCCCCAAAAAAAGAAAAACAAAACCCTTAGCATTCAAGTTCTTTCAGAACCTGGCCCCAACCTGTTCTTCCAACTTTCTCCTCTATTCACTGTCAACTCCAATCCACTCCCACAACAAACTTATTCCACGTTAAGTATCTCCCCTACCACTTATTTCTGTAGTGTCTGGCAGTGTTCACTTTAGTCACACCATCTGCATGTCTTTGAGGTGGGCAGATGAAATCTCTGAGACCATGGGGATAGGCTGACTCGTGTGCTTCATAGATATTTCATTTGCTCTGGGCGTGAGCTTTCTTTCCTAACAGCCAGGCACAATTCCCAGTCCCCTAGTCTCAGAGCCAAGCAATCAGCTTCTTCCTGATTTTCTTCCATATCAGGGTTGCCAAAGTCCTTCAAAGAGGGAAACAGCCTTAACCCCAGAAAACAAACCAATTCAGAAGCTCCAGGGTAGGGTAAGAATAAGATTAATAAGAAAATCACACCATAGGACAGTACTAAGTCACAGTATTCATCAGAGCATGTGATGGCCCCTCTGTAACCCAACCATTTATTTTAAAATGACATCAGAATATGACAGTCCATTAATTAAAAAAAACCCACCAGTTCATATGGAGCAGTGGCACCATTATATAATTTTTATAAAGCATCTTCTCCCCCCTCTCCCCTTCTTTATATTAGAATTAGTTACTGAGCCAGAGAAAGCCTTTAAAGATGGCCTGGTTCAAGATCTTCTAGGGCTTGGGCCAATTGCTAAACTCCAAAATTACCTGGCACCTCTTGTTAACCTTCTCAGAGGGTTTGTCATAGATAATTTAGCTAAACTAGAGACATAGCTGAGTATCTCAGGGGTATTGCTTCCCTAAGCATTCCAGGTAGCTTCTTGGACCTATGACAGAAACATTTTGAGACAGATGTGAGGTGAAGGAAAGGAGTGTGTGTGTGTGTGTGTGTGTGTGTTAAAGAAAAAGGGGTGTGTCTAAGGCCATTGCTTTTTCTGGTTGCTCTGTCAGCTGGCAAAGGGGAAAAGCATGATGGGTCTAGAGACTTAGGTCCCAGCTCCTGGGTTCTTTTGCCACCTAGCTGTGTGATTATGAGTGAGTTACTGCCCCCTCTCTGGCTCTCAGTTTCCCTATTGTAAAATGAGGAGGTTGGAATAAAAGAGCTATAAAGTTTTATAATTCTATGGTATTTCTATACCATAGCAGCCATGTAGGCTGCCTACTCCCCAATACATGAAACACCGGACATTGGCACAAAGAGCTCTTTGGGGATGCTGGGACAGAATGTATGCTTAGCTCATCCTCAGGGAGATAATCTGAGGCCCCATGATCCACACTTGGTCCTATCTTTTGATCTCCAGTGGTTACTAAGTGCAGTGCCTGGCACTGTGGAGCATTTAATAAATGGCTGTTAGTTGACAACCATTGGGCCTAGGGCTTGAAACAAGGAATGTATGGGAGAGCTCAACTCTACACACAGCAGGAGAGGGATCTCAAGCCACCATGCCTCTTAGATCTGCCTAAACTTGGGGGTCTAGAGTTGACGTGAGGAGATGAGGGAAAGGACTGAGGCCAGGTCAGAATACGATGTCTAGAAAGGCTGAGAGCAGGAAAAAACTCAGGAGGATAACTAGGCCAAAGGCATGGACACTGATCACTGTTAGCGTGGTTTCTCTTGGGATCTAGGTGGTTCGAAGGAAGGAAGGAAGGAAACAAGGAAGGAAGGGAAAGATTTTTTTTCCCTTCTGTTCTCCTACATGGTTCCCACCTAGGGCTTCAGCACTGCCCAAGTCTCTTCTAACATGGTATTGTTGTATAAACATATAAACTTTCCCCTATTTCTTGGGCAGGCTATAATTTCTTTATTATCCTTTAAAATTTTTTTATTAGTTATTTTCTTAAAATTTTAAACAACTATTAAAAAAACAACACCACAAAACAAAAACCTCAGAAAAAATAACTCACTATATGGTACATATACCCAAATGGTGTGATACTTTATATAATAAAAGATGAAAATAGTCACTTTCCATAATAAAAATAAGTTCTATTTTTTGTTTATTTTACAATATACTTAATATTTCTCTTCTTTTTCTTCTTCTCCTTCCTCCTCTCCATTCAAAGTAACAAAGTCCCATGTTTCACGTCTTTGTCAAGCTGATGTCTGGCCGTGCCTGCCTCCTCAAAGTGGTGGATGCTTGGGGAAGATGGCATTAGGAACATTTGTGACACCCACACTCCACGTGTCTCTCCAGCTCCTCCACAAACGAGGAACCGTCTGTGCACTGGAAGACATATTTCCGCCGCTTGCTGCGCATAGGAGCACAGCATTGGGAGCCGCAGCCCCCACGACATTCCATCACGGGCACTTTAGAGGCGGTGGCACATGATGCATAGCCCTGCTGCCGGCGGATCACCTCTCGAACCACCTGCCCCTGGCATGGGCTCTCTGTAGGGACAAAGGAGGCGGGCACAAGGTTGGTTAGGGTGCCCAGGCGGGCATGATAATCATTTTGAAACGACACTCTGAAGCTCTGCACATTCTTTCTTGGAGACGGTGGCATGCCTGGGGGTGGTAATTGCCATTTGTGGGTAGCAGGGCACACATCTGTCTCTTCCGCCTCATCTTTTGACCAACCTGCCTGCCATCAAACAACCCACGCCTCCTATGCTTTTAAGCTTAATCTGACAGTCAAGGTAAGATGGAGTCAGTGTCCTAATCATGGCACTGGGGAGGGAATTAAGGAGACCATCTATGGTCATGAAACTCAAGCTCCATTAAGTGTGCTATAAATAAATTTCTCCCCCTTTTTCCAAGTAATTTACATTTTAAATCTTATTTTCATTGACATCTTTTGTATTATATCACTTTCAACTCTGAATACAGTCCTCTTCGATGCCCTGGCTAGTGAGTCAAAGAAGACAGAAGAAAGAGAAAAAAATATCAGACAAAACTAATGACCACATCAATCTGGCACTGAAGGCCATCTTCTACCCCAAACCCTTCTCTCCCAAGAGGGGAGAGGAGAGATACATTTTTTTAAAAAGTATAATTTTGTACTATTTATGCAAATAATCTGTGATTTCCTGGGGAGTTCCTCAGATGTAGGAATTCCCTCCATCAATGCAGATTACATAGGAAACACACAGGTGAAGTAATCTGCTTGGGGTCACATACTTCATAAGTGTCAGAGGAAAGATTTGAACCCAGGTCTTCCTGACTCCAATCCTATGCTACACTCCTTCTCTGCTATGTACAAAGGCTGGGTAGGAAATAGGGGTCTGGTTCTGGTCTTAGCAGAGGGAGGTTGTCTGACCAAAGAAAAATGGTGACAGAGTCCTCTGGAAGCTATCAGAGTTTCTGGGAGGCAGAGCATATCCTGAAATAAGAGAGGCCAATTTTAGAGACAGGATATCTCTAAATTAGTTCCGATAATCAGGGGCACGAACCAAAAGAAACAATTTACTGTTAATGAGAACATGCTATTCTGTTTCTTTGTCATGGAGCTGGATAAGGCAGTGGATAAGCCTTGGCACGGACCACACAGAAAGGCCCCAAACATGGGCCAGCCTAGTTAACTTCAGAGAGACTTCACCAGGAGGCTTGAGCACACGTATTAACCTTACTCAGTGATTTGAAAACAGTGTCTTCAGACAGAGATGTGTTCTGGTCTGTTTTGGTGGAAGGAACACACAAAAATGAACTGACAAGAGTCTTGAAGAGGGAGCGAGAACCCGGTCAACTGTCGTATTCTGAGAGGGTTGATGGCAGTTGGGATTGGATCCAGAGATGCTATAGGCTGGTACCTCAGGGAGGGTGTGTTAGAAGTTCAGATTCATTCTTACTCAGTAAATTTCCTTTAATAGCTGTGTCATTCAGCAAGTTTCTTGGCTTTATTTATTTATAAATTATTTTCTTATAAATTGTTTGGTTTTTTGTTTGTGAATTGTTTGTTTTTGTTTGTTTATTTTTATCATTTATTATTATATATTATTGCATGCATATGCTATATTATATATAACAAAATATATTATGTCATAATAATATATTTTATATTATATTTTGCTGTATTTATTTTTTATTGTATTTCATTTGTAAATTTTAAGGATCCAGAGGATTCCTTGTGGTATATATGTATCTAAAGCACAAATCGGGAACTTGATAAATGTTTCTCGAAGGCACTCTTAAGTTGATGTTATGTCTTTCTGAGACTACCTAATACTCAGATCTTTCTAGTGCTTCCAGAAGGGCAGTGAAATCCTAGATCCTGAGGTAAGCTTTTAGGTGGGATTTTAAACAGCTTGCAAGGATTTCCAACTCTTAAAACAGTAAGTGCCAAGGAATGGAAAACCAAATGGATGCCCACTGATTGAGGAACGGCCAGACCAATGCAGGGACCTGAATGTAATGGGCTATTACTGTGCTGTAAGAAATGATGAATAGAGAGAATATGGGAAGACCTATACATAACCTGATACAAAGTGAAGTAAGTAGAACTAGGAAATCAATATGCACAATGACTATAACAAAGAAAGTGGAAAGAATATCACCAACAAAACAACCCAAACTGAATGTCGTGAAACCATAATGGCCAAGCCTGGCCACAAAGAAGAGATATAAAAAGACACCTCCTCCCAGTGCTTTGTAGAAGTGGAGGACCATGGGTGTGGAATACTGCATATAAATCAGAGGTTTTTGATTGGTTTAGCTTGCTAAACTTTTTTTTCTTTCTCTTGTTTTATACTTTATTATAAGGGATGGGTGTGGTGGGAATGGATACAGTGGGAAATAAAGGTGATAAAAAACACAAAAGATAGCCATGATAATTCATTTTAAAAAAGAGTTAAATGCAAAAGAGATGCTCCTCATTCTTCTGGGCAGTGTGTCCTGAGTGATGCTCTCCCCATCTCCCTATTCCTAGTGATGCCCCCCTGTCAGACCCCAGGAGCTCGAGGACAGCCCACCTTGGTCACAGTGCTCCCCGCTGAAGCTGGGCTCACACACGCAGTAGGGCTGCCCCCTCTCAGAGATGTGGCACTGCCCATGGTGGCACTTGAAGTCCCAGCAGGGGCTGACTGACTCATTCCTCTGGTCACAAGAGGCTCCCACGTAGCCCTCAGCACACTTGCATGTGTATGAAGAGCCTGAAGCCACACACTTTCCATGGACACACCTGAGAAGGATGGGGGTTGGGAATGAGAGAACAGATATTGCGTTAGCACCAGTGACGACCCTCCATAGGTTGAGTCACTCTGAAGGCCTCTCAGAGAGCAAACTGCTCAGTCCTGGAGACCAATCCCTGGGACAAGGACAGGCCTTAAATTAAGCACAATGAAGCTTTAAGAGTTCCTTAAATAGGAATTTGTTATATACGCTTACATACTAGAACTGGGAGTGAGCACAACCAGGGTGCCTAACTCCTTCCCCAGACTCATAGATGAGAATGTCTCCCATTCTTTAAAACAAATAAAAATTTAGTAAAACTTAATGCCAGACAACAATACAACTACTTAAACACGCATTATAACTATTTACATTTAAATGAATTCATGTCAATGTATGAAATTTCTTAACAATTGTTCAGTCCCCAGCAGGGTTCGTTGTTCATTCATTCTTCTCTGATTTCCCCCTTACATGCTCATAGTGTGTCCTCTAGGCTTCTCGTTTTGTTTTCATTTTGTATGATTTCATAAAGATTTTTCCAGATTTCTTTGTATTCCTCATACTTGTAAGTCTTAATGACACAGCATTAATGCACTAAACTCTATTCAACTAATCTCCTGCCATTGTCAGTCAACAAACATTTATTAAAGGCATATTATGTGCCAGGCACTATACTTACAAGCACAGATATTTTGGCTCTCTCCAGGTTTTTGTAGTTACACATAATGCTGCTGGTAAAATCTTTGAATGGCGTTCTCTCTCTCTCTCTCTCTCAGAATATATTCTCAACAATGGTATTCATGGGCCAAAGGGTAAGACGATTTTTTGGTAACTTTTACTTTGTATTCCCAGATTACTCTCCAAATTTTATAAGTTTGTAATTCTACCAGCAACGAATGAGAATATACTTTGTCTCTCCATAACCCTATTAGCATTGTTTCATTACTTTTCATTATTTTTGTTTTTGTGAATTTGATGGGTGTGAGATGGTAGCTCGAAGTCATTTTAATTTGTGTCTCTGGTTATTAGTGAAGTTGTGTTTTTTTTTCCTCAAGAAAATACTATCAATTTGTGTTTCTACTTTTGAAAACTGTTCACATCTTCTGACCATTTATACATTGTGAACTAGGAGATACCTTTGTTCATCTTTAACAGTTCCTTATATATTTAAGGTGTCAATTTTTTATATGCCATATTTACCATAAATATTTTCCCCAATCTGTTTTCTTTTAAACATATTGGGTTTTGTTGTACACTATTTCTTAATTTTAATGATTAGAAAAAAAATCATCTGCCTTAATGGAGATAAATACATTCTTATCTATTTTGTTTCATCTTTTTAGAGTTCTCCTTTATGTTTGTACATCATCCAGCTGTCATTCATTCAGATGTAAAAATGTAAACTACAGGTCTAAATCCATTTTCCACCAAATTACTACCTATTTTTTCCAACACATCAAATGATTCTTTTCCCCAGATTTTATTTCCTATAGGCTTATCAAACGCTAACCTCTCGCTCATATTTGTTTAGATATCTGTAGCACCTATTCTATTCTACTGATCTATTTCTTTACTGTTTGTTCTATATATCACATAGTTCTGATAATCTCTTTGTAATATGTGTTACAATCTGAGAGTGCAAGACACTCTTCACCAGCTCCCTATGCTCCCCCTACCCTCTCCATCCTCCCAGAATGTCCCTTAATATTCCTATGTGTTTGGGTTTTTTTCCCCACAAAGGAAAATCACTGGTTTTTTTTCCCAGTTTAATAAGGAAATTCCTTGGTATTTTAATCGACAGCACATTAAATATGTAGACTAGTTAGGGAAGTATTGTTATTTTTACCACATTAATATTACTCATCTATGAACATTAACTACCTCACCAATTATTTAAGTCTTCCTGTATTTCAGTCACTACTTTTCAAGTTTTTCTTATACAGGTCATGTGTATTTCTAGGTAGGATAATTCTCAAATATTTTTGTTGTTACTGTACACGGGGTTTCATTTTATGATTTTTTGCTAGTACACGAGAACTGAAATGATTTCATGATAATCTTGTATACTGGATCCTTGATGAACTCATTTATTGGCCTCACTATTTTTTTGTTGAAACAGTTGAATTTTATAGCTATACCATTATGATATCTGCAAATAATATTTTGACCTCTTCCAGTGTTATCTTTTTCTTGTCTTATTGAAATGACTAGAATTTCTAGTACTGTGTCAAATAAAAGCATTGGAAGTGGATGTCTTGCTTTGTATTTATGCTACTGGGAATGCTCCTAATATTTGTCCATTGCATATTATGTTGGCTCTTGGTTTAAGGTAGATATGTTTTACTGTGTTGAGGAAAAATTCCAATATTCCTTTACTTCCTATAATGAATAAATGTTGGCTTTTTATCATTTTTACATATATTCATGTTTTAACAATCATATTTAAAAAATTTTGTTAGTGTCTGCATTTTATATTGTTAATAGTTCCCCCTCTTCCCCTTATTCTTGAACTAGCATTGCATACCCAGCAAAAAAAAAAAATCAAACCAAAACCCTTCATGGCCATAAAAAATAACATCTAGATGTGTCTGTCTTATTTTTAAATAACACCAGAGAAGAAGACTCTTCTACAGTTATTTGCAGTGCCGGTTTAAAAGTCACATGAAGTGCCTGATCTGATCAGTTTTTAAACTCAGATCTGGATGCCTCACTTTGACCAGCCATATCAATTCATTAGACTTGGCTCTGAATGACTTCTAGCTATTTCTTAACATTTAATTCATTTTTAAAAGGGGACATTTTGCTATCACAGAGTGGCTCTGTATGTATATGTATAAACACAGGCATATACATTTATATACATATCCACCTATCTGTCTGTTTATCTATCTATCTATCATGCTGTTCCTGTTTGTCTATCTATCTGAAACAATGAGCCATGGAATCTTTGAAAAAATCTAAGGTGCCTCCAAATCCTCCTCCAAGGACTGCTTTGAAAGAGATAACGTTCATTTAGATAGATAACTTTTAGACCATTCATTAAAGAATCAGCTTCATTACCTCAGTACATAACTCTCTGAACAAGTTTTTCCTGAATTCTAATCTCAGTACCTTCCACTATAATCAAAGAGCATTCTTTCTCTGTCTCTATGTCTATCTCTCTGTGTGTCTCCCCCCTCTCTTTCCCTCCTCCCCTTTCCCTCTCCAGTCTGCCTAAGAGCCCTGAAGAGGGAAAGGGGCTGGGTCTTGCACAGGCAGGGAGACAAGCAGAACTGTGGGACCAAAGGGGAGTGCACTCACCAGGTCCAGTGCACCTGCTCTCCAAGAGACTCACCTGTGGCCAAGACAGGAATCTCCAGCTTCTTGGTCACACAATGGCCCCGTCCAGCCTGGGTGGCACTCGCAGACCACACTGCCCTTCTCCACAGAGCGGCACATGCCATGTTTGCAGATGGTACATGACTTGCAGCCAGGGAAGACACCTGGGGACTGTTGGGGCAGGGCCTTGAAATCCTGGAGCTCGTTATTGATGCGGACGTCATGGATACAGCCATGGAAGCCACCCAGGCTTCGGTCTGTGCCCTGGCGCAAGGCTGAGAGGCCTGTGCTGGTGGGTATTCCTGGAAAGAGAGCAGAGATATAGCTTCCTCACACCTGGCCCCAGCCCCTGCAGCTCCAAGGCACTCATGGTAATACAGATTGAACCTAGCATTTCATTGTTAAAAGGAAGTCCCAGATGAGGAAACTGCCTCTTACCAATCACATTTTCTTTATAATTTACAGTTTTAGGGAGTCATCAAAAACACTGAGAGAATAAGTGAATTCTTCAGTGACCCTGAGGTCACATAGCCAGTATATGTCTGAGGCAGAACTGGAAGGAACCCAGGTGTTCTTGGCTTTGGGGGCCAGCTCTCTATCCACTTATCCATGCTACCTTTCACTCAGACTAATATTGCAGTGAAAGGGTCACAAACTGTATCACCAAGCCCGTTGGGGGCTAATTCTCTAATCTGAGCAACTTCCCTGCTTGTACTGTTTCCTGCCTTTGTATTGTCTCCAACCTTCCAAAATCTTTTTGCATACACTATCTTAACTAATTCTCACCCTAATTCTAATTCTACCCCTGAGGTAGGCAAGAGAGGCATTACTATTCTCATTTTACAGATAAGTAATCTAAGGTTTGGAGAGTTTAGATGACTTACCTTTATAGTTAGTGTTAGACCTGAGATAAGAGCCCATAGTCTCCTGACTTCTAGATCAGTGCCCTTTCTGCTACATCATGGGGCTTTTGTAGCCAGAATAAAGGACTAGTTAAGAGGAAAAAGCAGAAACTGAATTTAGCAGTTCCCAATTATCAAGATCCTAGCTGAAAATCTGTCTGATGTTGATTCTGGGTCAGAAAGCTTACTAGCTACTAGTAAGTAGCTCCAGGCCAGTTCCTTCCAGACTCATTCTTTCACCATCTTCATGGAAGTGCAGAAGCGATCTGCTCTTACATCATTACTTCTGGTAGCTGCTGAGATCATGACAGGGGAAGCTGGAAACACGGAGGAGGTAGGAGGAGGGGCAGAGTATACCCCCCCCCCCCCAAAGAGCAATGGCTCACACATGTCTGGACTGAGTCTGAGGGATACCCTGGTGGATAACTTGAGGGAGTGTGGGGATAAACTCTTAGATTATAAACTCATTAAGGGGCAGAGGCTGTACTTTGTTTAAACTTTGTATCTACCCCAGCATGCTGCTGTACTCCTCCTGGGCCCTAGAGAAGCACTCGTCTGGGGGTCCTGCTCAGCTGGGAGCTTGCCTCTCCTAGACCACTATTTCAGGAAAAGCCTCAGCCATACTGCACTTGGCTCTAGCTTCTCTGGTATCTCTTCCTTCTGGCCCTCAGCCTTGCCCCCTTTCCTTCTTCCATGCCTCTCCCCACAGAATGCCTTTGCTTTTTGTATTTGTATCCCAGGTGCTTAGCAGATAGTAAGGGCTCAACCATTCAATGAAAATCATCTATCAAAAAGCATATATTAAATGTCTATTTTGTGTCAGTCAATGGGGATATGGGGATTTATATGTGTGTGTGTGTGTGTGTGTGTGTGAGAGAGAGAGAGAGAATATATATGTATATATGTGTGTGTCTGTGTGTATGTGTGTGTATACAAACACACACATACACACACACACACACACACACACACACACACACACACTGCAGCTAGGTGGTACAGTGGATAGAGCACCAAACCAATTTTCCTGAGTTCAAATCCAACTTCAGACACTTACTAGCTGTGTGACCCTGGGCAAGTTACTTAACCGTGTTTGCCTCAGTTTCATTATCTGTAAAATGAGCTGGAGAAGGAAATGACAAACCACTTCAGTATCTCTGCTGAGAAAATCCCAAACGGGGTTAAGAAGAGTCAGACATGACTGAAATGGCTGAACAACAACAATATATACACACACATATGCTCCACACATACACTCATGTTGTATACGTATACTCCATATACATCCCATACACACATAATGAAACAATCCTACTTGCAAGGATTTTAGATTAATATATATGTTTTATATTGTCATGTATTAAAATCAGGTAACAATCTATGTTGCTTGTCCTTTTCCTGACAAGGAAGAAAGAAGCAGCAGGGGCCTGAGGCACTGGGCACTCTACCTGGTGCAGGGGTGGGGAGCCTGCGCCTTCGAGGCTGTGTGTGGCCCTCCATGTCCTCAAGTGTGGCCCTTTGACGGAATGCAAATTTCACAGAACAAATCCTCTTAATAAAAGGATTTGTTCTGTGAAGTTTGCATTCCGTCAAAGGGCCGCACTTGAGGTTAGAGGGCCATACACAGCCTCAAGGCCATAGGTTTCCCCATCCCTGGCCTAGTGGCCTGGCTTCCTGGGAATAGCTGTACCGTAATGTACAGGGCTGTCTCGTTCTGGTTGGGAGTGAGGAGCTGGGAGAAGGTGAGTCGCTAGCTGAGGCAGGGAAGTTTCACCGACAATCAGAGTTTGGGACGGGAGTAAGAGAGATTCTTACCTCCAATGTACAGGGGAGTGTTGGTGCCAACTGTTGGCTGTTTCTGGAGTTTGCCCAAACTCTTGGGGGCTCCTTTGTCCACTACCAGGTTCAAGGTCTGGTTTAACATCACAAGCTCCACACTGTGAAACTGCCCATCATTTACAGTCTCCACGCTGGGTTAGGAAAGGGATGGGAGAGAAAAGAATACAAATGAAAAAAAGATAGTTAAGAGAAAGCAGCTTAGACACCATAGTGGCAAAAACCAGAAACTCAGAAGCCAGGCTAGTGTTCTTTTCCTACTGCCCATCCCCCCATGCTCTCAACTAATAAGGTCCTTAAACTGATGAATACATCGTCAATAAGTATTTATTAAGCACCTACTATACACCTACTGTTGGGTACAAGGAAATTGGGTTGGTTTTTTTTTGCATTTGTTTGTGAAACATAAGCTCCTAGAGGGCAATGACATTTACCTTGGCCTTTGTATTCCCACTCATCCACTCCTTTCCCCAGAGAGGGTAGGAAACACCCAGACATTTGCCTCATGTGGAGTATGAATCCAGATCCTTGGACACCTAATCCAGGGCTCTTTCCAGTATCTACCCAGACCCAGAATCTGCTCGGATCTCCTTCAGCCTTTCTGCAGGGGCTGGCTATCGTTGGAACAACCTCTAAAACTGTGCAGGGGGTATTGGCTTGTGGGGGTCCAGCTAGACAAGGAGGAGCCAGGCTTTAGGTGGAGACCTTAGTGGCTACTCCAGGCCCAGTTTTTGATTTCTGGCCCCAAAGTAACAAACTGGTCATCAGCTCAAATAATCCAAAAGGTGAACCTCTCTGGTGCCAAACTTCTGAAGGTACTTACCTCAAACTGGGCATACCAGGAAAACAAATGGGAACTAATTATCACTGCTCCCCAGCAAGGAAAGGGAAGGTTCTCTTCCTCCTAGCAGATGCCAATCCTTTATATTTGTTTTGTGCTCTCAGCTTTTTCAAAGCACATTCATATGTATTATCTCACTCAATCCTCCCCTAAACCTTGCAAGGTAGGTAGACAATTTCCATTTACAGATAAGAAAACAGCCTGAGTAAATGACTTCCTTATGTTTGTATGGTGAGATGAAGACACAGCCCTTCTCACTACTAGCCTGCTGGTCTTTCTATAGTGAGATTCAGGTTCATCTTGACCCAAGCAAGACTTTCTCTAGAAATTCCACCATGACTCCACTGTCTTCTCACCCTGGAATAACCATCCTCCTCTGCAGGGGAGACCCTTGGAACACCTCTTCACCAGCTCTCTTTCATGTGTTGTCTTTTGAGCTCCTTAAAAGCAGGCCCTGTCTTTCTTTTTGCTTGGATTAGTATCCTCAGCACTGTCGTAGTGCCTGGAACAAAGTAAATGCTTAATAAATGTTTGCTGCCTTGCCTTTCCCAAGGTATGAGTCCCATTTCTAAATCCCTGCAGTTAGATGATTGGAGAATAGGCTTGGGGACAAATGGAAAGAGCTATTCCAATTCATTATCCTGACCTTTCTTAAGAGAGGAATATGGTAAAAACTTTTCCACACAGAAGGCCTTAACAAACACATACCGAATTGAATGGAATGGACTTGGGAATAGCTGAGGGGATACCCCTCAGAGGTAGTGGATGCTTTAAGATGGGTCTTATGACCCCAAACACTTGTGACCAGCCTTACCTAATTCAGACTAAGACTTCTCCAGCAAGTCATTACTTAATTCTCACTAAGAAAGTTCTTCGATGAAAGAGGATCCGCAAATCTTCAAATCTGCTATTATTTATTGTTAAGAAGAGTCTGAGTAATACAGAGGAGCAGGAAAATATGACTGAGAGAAGGTGGCAAGGTCCTGGGAAAATGTTGGAGGTGCGTTGGAAGAGGGGGATGACCATTTATCCCTTATCTTAAATATTTATGTGAACATTCACATACACCCATAAACACTCTTTCCTCTGCCTAACACGTATACAAATACTCAGCAAAGTTGTTTTTGATGCATACACACACAGAGATGCACACACATACATATACTGCACACAGTCACAAAAAGATACCGTCATAGAAAGACAGAGTGGCACAGGCTGCTTTAGGAGGTAGTGAGTTCCTCATCACTTTAGATGTCTGAGCAGAGGCTGGATAACCATAGAGTCAGGGCTGTGTCCGAGGAGATTAGAGTCCTTCTAAATTTATAATCTCAAGATTCTCTGGGTAACAGACACTCATAATAGTACATATGGAGATAGACACACATTAAAAACGAAACACTTCTCCAATTCTAGTTCCAAGACACATTTTATAGCATCCTCTCCCCCTCCCTGCTTCTTTCCTGAGACCCAGGGCACTGCAGTTTTGGCAGATGCCTCTTGCTTGGAGCCAGTGGCTTGGCAGATGAAGGAGGGAGAGCCGCTGCCCCTTCCTACCCCCCCTCCAGAGTCCCTGTGTGTAATCTGTTCTTCCCCTGCTGCGTCCTCCCAGCTCCCTCCCTCTTTACCCCCAGGTCACCTCAGGGGATCCTTAGCCTCACATCTACTGGGTATGGGAGCCCTGGACAGGTGGTCTCCTCTCCATGGGAGATGCTTTCCCTTCTCCACACTGGATGGGGTATGGGCCCAAGCCCAGACCTTTGCCCTTTGCTCCAGAAAGAGTTTGGCTCCCTTTTGTCTATGGGCCCCAGAAAGCCCTTAAACTTTTCTCTGGTCTCAAACCTTATCACCTCCCCTTATCTCCCTCTGAAAGCCCTAGCCCCACCTTTTGATCTTATGCAGATGACTTTCAAACTTCTTCTTTCCAGTTCCCTTCATTATCTATTCCCATTGTCTATTCAATCTCTCAGACCCTTTTCCCAGCCCCCTCCTCTGGCCACCCAAAGTTACTTTAGTGTCTATAAGATCCACCCTGCTCCCATTCAAACACTGAGACTCTCTCATGCCTGCTCCTCCCTGCAGGATGTTACTAACGTTCAGACTCCTTAAGAGTCTGGCCTATATAGTTTATCTCTAATAAACTTTTTCTCTGACGGGAAGATTTGGGTTGAATTCATTCAGGCAGGGCCCACGTCACGATCTTGGGGTTCCAGCACCCCTAAACCTCATCACAGTCAGGTCCTTACAGTATGGTAAGTTGGCCAGAGATGAAATCATATGCATCTTTGGGGCTCCCACCATACATATAGTGACTAAATGCTTGACAAATAAATGATGCTTTCATGCATTTGATACAACAGCTCTGTGAGGGAGCCAAGGGAGTCAGTGTCCCCATTTTATAAATGAGTAACTGAGGCTCATAGAGGTTAAACCACTTATCTAAGCACATACAGTTTGCAAATGTTATAGAAGGGAATTGAATTCAAGATTTCTGACTTCTAGATCATAGATTTGAAGCTATAAGGACCTGAGGCAAGCATCATCTCTTCAGACCCCCTCATTTTACAAATGAGGATGTCAAGGTCTAGATGAGTGAAATGACTTGCCTAAATGAAGCCACACAGGCAGCATGGGGTCGATGTAGGTTTCAAACCCAGAGCTTCCTTCTGCAGCATGCTACCTTCCTTCCCTCCAATGCATTACGGTAAAGACATAGGGGCTGCCAGGCACTGAGGATGGGGGAGAGGGGCAGGCAGGCATTCTTAACATGAAAACACTGAGCAGCCATTTGGCCTGGTTCTGCTCTCTGATGACAGATCATCACAAATGTGTGGTAACAGGTGATAAAGGTGCCTGGTTTATTTCTAGGTAACATGTGAATAGGAGTTTTCCACAGGCAACGCCTTATCTGAAAGAAGTGATTTCACACTGGGAATTCTGGATACCATCTTAGTTCAATGGGGTAGATGTTTGGGGGCAGAGGGAGATTTTTAGAGCGTACAAACGATATCTATTCCATCTACAATGAGGGCCAGCCTAGCAACAAGTATGAACTAGGCGCCCTTTGGTGAGGTAGTGAGAACCTCATTACCTTAAATATTCAAGTGGGGACTGCATAACCACCTGTTAGGGTGCTGTAGGCTTGACAATGTATACGGTATTGTTGCACTGGATAGGAAATTTGAGCAAATGAGATCTACAGAACCTTCAATACAATGTGGAGACATCAGGATGCCAAGATTTCATGATTCTTTGATGCTGTAGTTCTGGATTTATTATTCATTAAGTGTGGGTGGCTGATGATGGTCAGGGGAGGGGGGCTGGGGCAGGCCCACAGTTCCCTTTCCCTTCTGTGTGAGCTCTGGCTCTGGGTACTCTAAGTTCCTACCACTAGGTGGTAATAGAGATTCACTAAGAAGGAGGACTTTGCTGTCTAAGGTAAAGTTAATTAATACCACTGCCTACAAACTTGATTGGGAGCTCGATGTTAATGGTGAAAACACAGCATCATCAGGACCATGACCAGCTCCTTTCACCCCATCTGGACATGGACTTCCACGCCTTGTTTCAGAAGATCTGAGAAAGGACATTTTCTGGGAAGGTCAAGAATAAAGCTAGCCGCCTCCTAGCTTGGGGAGCAGATGAGGTGAGCAGAGCAGCGGCGGGGGCACGTCTCCCTCTTCTTTATCCCAGGTCCCCTGTCCTGGCCCCTCACCACCACTGAATGACGCAGCCTAGCAGGTTCAAAGAGGCCCCCGAGTGTGAAATCGGTCTATCCTACATAAGACCATCCATTGAGAAGTGGGAGGGACCTCAGAGACCATGTAGTCCAACACTCTCCTTTCACAGATGAGGACACTCAGACCCAGCGAGGCTGAGTGAATTGCCCGAGGTCATATAAGCAGTAAGCATCAAAGGGAGGATTTGAACATCCACCTTCTGACTCTTTGTACTATTCCACGCTGTCCTCAGGAGGATTACTAGCGAACATGAGCAGACTGCCTTCCGGTCCCAAGTCCATCTCTCTTAAAGGTAATGTTGGTGGCAGGGTGGGGTCTTGCTGTTCTCAGCAGGTCCTAGGGTGCCTGCCCAGTGAGAACAAGGGGGTGAGGTGGGGTGAGAAGATTAAGGGAAGAGGCTCTAACCCTGAAACGAACCTGGAAACTGCCCAGAGCAGCTTAGGGGCCTGCGTGGGGAAGGCCCCAGCCTTGGGGTGAGCTAGCCTCAGTCTGGTCCCGGTAGGTTGGGCTCAGCTTTCTGCAGGCAGTGGCGGTTCTGTAGGAATCCTAGGGAGGA